AATGATTTTACATCTTTCAGTTTTTCTGAATGAATACTAAGGGGATGATTATATTTTTGAGTAAGTGTAGGAAATTTTTCTTCTGTAGCTGTTGGTCTTCCTCTTTTATTCAAGGACATGGAATTAAATAATCCGTTGTATGATGCTGAATATTGTATATTTCTGGGAACTTCTGAAGATAGACATAATTTCACACTACTTTGTAAAATACCTACCGGTTGATTAAAATAGCTTTTCAGTACTGAACAATCGTATATATCCTCTTGCTGGACCCTAGTTACTAGAAAAGGTTTCTTTTTCTGACACTTCTTCAAAATATCTTCCCAGTGATTGGGCGAATATACCATTTCACAGTTTTTCTTGACATAATTTTCTACAACAGAAAAGTCTCTGTCACTTGGCAAGTTTTGAAACTTATATTATATTCTTCAGTAAATATTCTTCTGAATTTATCTGCAGAAACTGGAGTTATCTTTTTCAAAATGCATTCTCCTACATATTTCTCATAACAAGTCTGAATAGAATATTCCATACTCATATATTGTCTAGAACTGTCAGCACGGGTGTAATGGCTTTTGTACTTAGGTAAGCTTTCAATAAAAGATTTCAGAAAATCTATATCAGAATTGGAATATTTTTTAGGATGATTTGAATGTCGACCTCTTAGATCTGATTTTGGAGTATTTGATCCAGTTTTTAATTGTTTTACTAGATTTTCAACTCGACCTCGATTTTTCTGTAAGCCATGGATACTTAGGAAAGCCATTTTGCATATCTTAACATCTTTCCCTTGTGATTTTAATTTATATTCAATAGTTTGAGATCTTTTTGACACTAGTGCTTTAGTTTTCTTCCTAGTCACATTTTTAGATCTCATACAACCTTGTAAGTAAGCATTTTGTGTATCAAAACTGTTCATGCCCCAAAAATTAACAAAAATTGTCTGTAGTTCTTCATGAGAAGCAAATAACTCATAGCATTTATTGGGGCAACTACACGGTGGACCTTGTGTTTTTGATAAAACAATATTTCCCTTACCTCTGTATTGTTTATATTCTTTTCCGCGATTTCTGAGCTCTTTTGTTTTTAATTGCTTACTTAAATTGCGTTTCCTTTTTCTAGATTTTGTGTCTGAAACAGAATATTCTTTTTCTTGTTTACTGTGTTCATTTAATTCTCCTCTATTTTCTTTTTCTTCCTCCTCTTCTTCTTCAGTACTGGACTCTGGGTATGTGTGAGAAGAAATTTCTTGAAGTCCATGTTCTTTCAAAAGTTTTCTAAAACATAAATAAAAATAATATTAAGTATTATAGTGCTGCAGAGAATTCATTTTCATATTTGCAAGTAAAAAATGTTAAGTTTTTATGCAAAGTGAATGTGGATGTAAACAATGTTAAGTACATCCTTTACCATTTTTTACTTGCAAACAATGATTCTAAGAATATAAATAAATTACCTTCTTTGTAGAAAGTTAATCGAGCTAGCTTCACTAAATATTTGAAATTCAGGATCTTTATCTGAGTCGTAATCATCATAGCTCTCAGAATTGTCACTATTAACATCAAAAAAGTCATTTAGATTTGAACAACCTGCTTTGTATTCCGCCATCATGGACACATAACATTATTTTCATGCTTATGCATGTCCCTTACCAAATTTTAAGAAATTAATCTGACGCCACCTATTATTCGGAGGATAAAATAAGTCAAGTTTTCTGCGTTGCCATGTCCCTTGCCATCTTTTACATAATATTTCGGGAAAAATCAAAATTTGTCCGTTACCATTATTTACTGCCGAGCCCCTCAATTATTAAATTGGGCACTGTTACAGATCATTCCTTAAAACGAAAGCGACCAAATAAAAAATTGGGTAGGATTGACATTGCTGCAAAAGACGTTATTCAGCGAACAGTTTACAATTTTTACAAAGAAAATAGAGTGCCTACTTTAGAACTGATTCGTGAAAAATTGAGAGATTTCCCTGAATATAATTATACATCTTTGGAAACACTGCGCGAGATTTTGATAAGTTGTGGATTTAAATATAAGAAATTAGATAATCGAATGGTAATAATGGAATCTCGGCGTATTGTTGAACTTCGACGAGAGTATTTGAGTAAAATAAAACAGTATCGTAATTCAAACAGAAAGATAATCTATTTAGACGAAACCTGGTTCGATACGCATGATGATGTCAAGTACGGCTGGGTTGACAACACAAACAAGTGTGCGTTAAATACACCGTGTTCACGAGGAAAACGTGTTATTATTCTTCATGCCGGAAGCAAAGATGGTTTTGTATCTAATGCATTGCTATTGTCGGCCAAAAATATAACAAACTCTTCTGCCGATTATCACGAAGATATGACAGCCGGTTTATTTGAAAAGTGGTTTGTTGAACAACTCTTGCCCAATATTCCGCCGAATTCAGTGATTGTTATGGATAATGCTTCGTATCATTCCCGCATATTAAATAAAATACCTAATAATAACACGAAAAAGGACGAAATTTTAAAATTTATGCAACTTAAAAACATTACTGTTCCTAAAAAGATTCCAGTAAAGAAAAAATTAATTAGAATAATCAAAAGTCGGAATTTTAAAAACGAATACGTTACTGACAGCATTTGCAGCAGGCACGGCCATACTCTTTTGCGATTACTCCCATACTATTGCATTTTTAATCCAATTGAAATGGTTTGGGGTACCGTAAAAAAACGATTGCGAAAATATAATCAGTCTCCAACATTAAGCGCAGTGGCCATTGAGAATATTCGAGAAGTAATTATTGGCATTAATAGCGATGTGTGGAAAAATTGCGAAGCTCATGTTGTAAAAATAGAAAACGAATATCCTGTTTTACCGGCAATAGCACCAATAGTTATCCAACCTGGGAACGATTCGACTTCAGAAGACTCTGACGATTCTTTTTAGTCCTTCTAATTAATTTCTTTACATCTATCGCGATGCATCTTGAACACTAGTATTCATTATTATACAGTGTGTCGCATTTAAGATATAGACACCTCTATATATCAGCTATCAAAATACATACAGATTTGAAATTTTGCACAGTCATACATGTTGATAGTGCACATTTTTTTAAGATAATGCGAAGATGCATATTAGGTATCGCATTTTTCGGATTTTCAATCGCGTATATCTCCAAAACTATTAACTTTTGAGAAAAATGACATAGATCTTATTTAGAGTAAAACCTAAAAAATATTTTTTGGAGCACAGAAGGTGATATTTTGAATTTGTTTAAAAAATTGTTTAAACAATTTCTGCCCAAAAATTGAGAAATTTTCCTGAATATAATTATGTAAAAATTAATAAAAATTATATGATTTTTCTTGAAATATGCGTTTGATGAACTGATCCCTTTTCTTAATTTCCACGCCAATGGTCGGCATTGGCATCAAAGAATCTCAAAAGCCGATGCTTGGCAAACTGACATTGGAAAAAGTATAATAATTAATGTAAGTTTCTTTAAACATTTACGTTTTATTTCCCAAAATACATTCTTAATTGCACAGGATGACACCACTTTTAGTACTTTATGCAATGGCGTTGACGTTTAATTTACATTAAAATAGATGTCCGAAAATATCACAAAAGTCCGTCAAGTAAGTCCTCTGGACATATTATGGACGTCCGATTAAGGTCCAATTAACGTCCCGGTACGTCCATTTTACGTCCGCTCGGGACGTAAAATGGACGTCCATAGGACGTTCGGCGCAGCGACATTCGGACCAATATAGGACGTAAATAGGACCAAAGCGGACGTCCGAGGGACGTCCTTAAAGTCCGTGAGGGACGTACTATGGACGTCCACTGGACGTACGTGTGCTATTAGGGAATGTCCATGTTTCTATGCTGTATAACAATATGGACCATACATAGCATTTAGTAGCGGTTTAAATTTGATACAAGCTTGTCTTGCTTGTTCGGTACGGCCTTTTATTTCTTGTTGAGGATCCCATTAGTCATTCATCATCATTCCCAAGTATTTAAATGTTTCCACTTGATCGATTGGAGCACCATCTACTTGCAGTTATATTCTTAAAAGTGCGTTTTTTCTTATTGCCATGCATTTAGTTTTTCCAACATATTGTCCTGTTGCGCATTTTTTATGTCCTTAAAATTTGTGAGTAACGGTATCGTGCCATTGGGGAGGTGGTTTAACCCCAAAAACCATCCCCCTGGGTGCGCCACTGATGTGTATGTGTGTGTCAGTGGCGCATTTTATTTTTTTTTGAGTCCTTAAAATTTGTGAGTAACGTTTCGTGCACTGGGGGCGGTGGTTTAACCCCCAAAACTTGCCCTGGGTGCGCCACTTATGTGTGTGTACCAAAAGAATTTTTATCATAGACCAATGAATCCGGCCTCCGACAGAAGTCGGCCATTATTATCGGCTACTTTGGACGCAAATACATAATATACAATGAATACATAATAATAGTATTATTATGTATTCATTATTCATAGGTACTATTATGCTATTACATTCTATTTTGACAAAATCAAACTTTTGCTGTTGGGGTCAACAATTGTTTATTATTCTGTGCTATTACAACCACAGAGTTCTAACTCGATGATTAAATTATATCCCAAATCCCAAACCCAGTCAAATAAGTCAAATATTAGGTTGTGCTGCGGTATTAAAATACGGCCATTGATGAATTTTATTTCTTGACGTATTTAATTACTTTAATCATAATTCATATTGTTTCTATTCATAACAGCATTTCCCATTAACCTATATATTTTTGAATCGAATTTGTCTAAATAAAAAGAAAATAAATAAAATTGTTTTATAAAAATAACTGTTCCAAAGTAACGTTTCTACCGGCGTCGTGTCGTGTTCGTGTATTGTAGGTTGCGTTGCTAGTGGTTGATGGCTCGATGCTTGCGTGTTCGGTCGTTCGTTAAACGGAAATAACACGAAATAACGAAATAACTACGTGACGAGACGAATTGACGAATAAAATTTCGTTCACTTTTTATCCGACCGTCGGGTTGTTTGTATGATTTGTACTCTATTAGCCATATTCTATTATTTCTTAAGTGCAATGGCTGCCAACCAAGAAAGAACTTTTATAATGATCAAACCCGATGGTGTCCAAAGAGGGCTTGTTGGAAAAATTATCAAAAAGTTCGAGCAAAAAGGATTCCGACTAGTAGCAATGAAATTCATGTGGGTAAGTAATACAATAATTTTAAATCTAAAGCACATAACACCACATGGCAAATGGGAAGGTCGTTCTAACTTGCCGGTTGGTGTCTGGCTAGTTAGTAGTTATCGATTTTTAATACATACTTGGCTATATTTTAATATATCTATAATTTATAAAGTCGAGAATTCAGTAAAATTATCTTGATTACTCTAAATTTCTAATTGCAATAGTTTGAAACTTGTAACTAAGCTCAAGGTCGTTATCAGTTAGATGTAGACTAATAATTATTATCCTAATTAAATTATTAATTTAATTTTAATCCAATAAAATTTATATTTCTCCAAAAATTCTTTCCGGCTTATTACACTAGTACCATTCTTTTTTTTACGTATGTTGTTGCATTTTTAATGTTTTGGGAATTAAGGGTATCCTAAAATTGAAAAGTTAAATTATTAATTATATTCTACCCTATTCTATATTTTTCTTAATTTTCTGAAATAACCCATAATCAATAAACATTTGATTACACTAAAATAATATTTTATTGAAAGTAGAAGGCCTAAAAAGTCACTCCAGTTACCTATTTTGTAATTTAAATTCAGATAACTTTTTAATATTGATATTCACTATCACCATTCAAGTACCCTTTTGGAGATTCATTAATGGTGGCCACAGTCCTCCTGTTAGTCCTCCTGTTGAGTATAAGCAAAGAATATAGACACTTAAGCGTCTATATTCTTTGGTATGTTTCACGCCTGCAAAACTAGCATAGTCACCTTTGGTTTTTTTAAATTTAATTATATTGATTTAATCTTTTGGCAAGCATATAAAATTAACTGATTAAAAATAACAACTTTAAAACCTTAATATTGTGCTTTTAAAGTAAATGCAATGTAATAAAAGTACAAGAATAAATTCTATTACTAGGTGGTAGGAATTTTATGCTTTATGTGTGTGGGATGCAAAAATAACCCAGGTTAGTGTATTAACTGAAACTTAAATCACATTTAAATATGTTTTTTAATTTTTCTATTTTACTATTTTGTATAACACTAGCAGAAAAAAAGCTCATTTTGGCACTCCTAAATAGGCACCCACCTGCATTGCATCCCTTGCAGACCAGTTATCATCAGCCCTGGGTGACCATCAAGAATTTAACACTTCAAGAGTTCAAATTAATGGTTTTTGTTCCATATTTGCTTTACACAGGAATATATGCTTTATAAAATAAATTTAATTTAATATGATGAGAACTTGACAAAAATAAAATGGTATATAAAAAGCTCCATTTAATTTGTATAACTTGATTTAATAAATGCACACAATTTTATCCATTTTATAAAATGAGAACTACTATTTAAGTGTTCTTTTGTAAGTCTGCATTATACCCCAGTCAAGAAAGAAAAAAAGCTGAAAGAATCTTATACAGGTATTTAAAGATTCTAAAAGGTATATAACGGGTAGCTGATGAAAAATTGGTGAAGACATACAGCTAATTTTGCCCTGTCTTTTTTAAACAATTTTTAAAAATTAAAGAATATTTGTTTTATATAAAATGTTGCTTGTACATTTTAGAGAAATATGGTTAAAATAAAAGTAGTAGATCATAAAAGTTCTTTAACTTTGAGAGTTTCCAAATTAAAATACATAAACAATTAACTGAGATAATTACAAAAAAACCATTATTTACATAGTAATTTATAAATTTTAGTAACCTCGTTTTTTACATAGACATGTAATGTAACTACTTGAAATTATGGCAAATAATAAATTATTAAGTGTGCTAAATTTAACCAGATTGACCAAATATTTTATAAGTTATTCAATTTGTTTATTCTGGAGAGAGCTTATCTACTGCAATTTACAAATGACCTCTAGAGTAACTGTTGGAACAAGTACAGTTGTTTAAATAATGGCTCCCTATAAACAAATTAACATAATATAAACTATTTGGTAAATTTATTTGAAATTTAGCACACTTACACTTACTTGTATTAACTACCACAATTTTGAGTATGTATTTATTTAACATGTGATTATGCAAAAAAAACAAAGTTATTAACATTTATATATTACTGCAAAAGTAACTCAATATTTTATGAAGTACAACTTTTATTTGAATCACTTTTCTTTAAAATGTATAACAAACTTTTTATTAGACAAAAACTACTTTTTCACTTTTTAAGTTTGCTTAAAAAAACAAAGCAAAATCGGCTGTATGTCTTCACTTATTTCTCATTAGCTACCCCTCATCCTCATATACCATTTAGAACCTTCAAATATCTGTATTAGATTTTTTTTTCTTCCTGGGTCAGGATATATTGTCAACAGAGTTAATAAATATACTTATAGCTTCGATGAAACAGATTAAAATATGTAATAATAAAATAATTTTTAGAAAATGTTGCTGAACAATCATTTTAAAATCTGTTTAGATTATTCACTAAATAATCTTCTACACAATTATCTAGGAAAAAATATTTAATTTGATCAGCTATCCCTTATATACCTTGTAGAACCTCCAAAGATCTGTATCAGATTTGTGTTATAGTGCATAACATAATCAATATATTATGGATGATAAATCCTTGTTTTTTAAAATTTGATAGTGCCATGACGATTTTATTACAAAAACTACTATCATCAGTTCCAAATGTTTTACATAATAGTTGAATTTGATTATTTCTTGATGATTTGTTATTTTGGACATAGTACCTTTGTCTAATAACCACCTTATTTTATTCAAAAAATGATATACAACCTTCAATAAAGACTGTATCAAAGATTTGCAATATTTCAAATTTCAATGAAAAATACAGAATACATAATTTATCCAGTTGATGGATTAATACAACGGGGATCCTTCTTTTACATTTAAAGCAAATCTTCAACCTGTCCTTAGTTTTGTAAATACTCTGATGAAGTACTTAAAATTGTAACATTTTTATGAAAGTAGTTGATTTTCTTTTTTAGTTTACTATTTATGATGTAACTATTAATTGTCCTTTTTTTTAGCCCTCTGAAGAACTTTTGAAGAAACACTATGCTGACCTAGCTGGCAAACCTTTCTTCGCAGGTCTAGTAAATTACATGAGCTCTGGTCCAGTAGTGCCAATGGTATGGGAAGGTTTAGGAGTAGTAAAAACTGGCCGTGTACTACTAGGTGCTACCAATCCTGCTGACAGTGCTCCTGGTACCATTAGAGGAGATCTCTGCATCCAAGTAGGACGTAACATCTGCCATGGTTCAGACGCTGTAGAATCAGCAAACAAGGAAATTGACTTGTGGTTTACTGAAAAGGAATTAGTACCCTGGACACCAGCTGTCAAAACTTGGGTCTATGAAGACTAGATAAAGTACTCTTGCTATCTTTTGTATTATTTAATAAGTAACCAATAAAAATAAAATCTCATCACTAAATAAAAATATTTGGTACAGTTTATCTTTTTTTTATTTATGTTTCATTTAATCTAAACTGAGTTTTTTGAATATATCATTTAATACAAACCACACATATTAAATAATAACTATTCACATTCCCTTACACTTTTTCCCAAATGGCAGGAGTAGCAGTATTCAATGCTTTTTGCCATGTTGTTTAAAATTGTTTCAAAATATCTCTTATTCTATGTATATGTAAATTCCTAGCCCTAAGTTTTACCCGTCAGCCCTAGACAAGGTCGTTACAATTTTATCATTTTAGTATGTTTCCAGAAGAGCACAGTAAAGAATGTGTGAAGATATTTCATGTAATAAGTCATTTATTTCTTCACCCTGTAGGTCCATTATTAACCAGTGACTAGCCAATTTAATAAACATACAATTTTTTGATCCTTCTTAGCCGAATTCAGTGTCAAATCTGAACAATTGTAACTCATCAATTTATTAAAAAACAATAGTTCCTATTAGTGCATGTCTGCTATCAACCCATCAGAGAACGGGACAGCGAGTCAAAAGAACGTTGACGAACACTAAGCAGTGTCACTGTGGCCAATTTGCTAAGTGATTGTAGACGAGCAGCGCTGAAATCTGCAAGTCAGTTCCACTTATAAGATAAATCTTACCCTTATCACAGTGCTATTTATAGATTCTGATTCTGGTATTTAAGACTTTTTGATCTTTTTATGCATGGTATTATATCTTATCAGATTTTGTGTATTACTTACCAGCATTTCAATTCAAAAATAAGCAATGTTGAGTTCAGATATTGCATAATTAATAATAAATAGAGATTCTCTTAAATGTAAATTACCTTCATTAACAAATTTTGTAAATAAAATAATTGGGTTTAATTAAACCGACATTAGGTGATGTAAATATGTGATAGCATTGATTATAAACCACTACCTAGATAACTCACTTTAAGGTAAAAACGAATTCAGTGTTAAACTTCGCCCACTTACACCTCTTTGCCCCTCACGTCTAAGTACTACCTGACTGTATGGTGGCGACATTCATTGAAATCTTTGCCAATATTGAAAAATAAATATCAGTTCCCTGGTCCGGCAATTCTCTAGTGCATTAGAGGACGATATAAGGATGGCATTCAGCATTTTCACAAGTAATTTTAACGTGCTTGTAATCTATATTATGAAATTAAGATTTGACTTCAGAAAAAACGCTAAAAATTGATTAATGAAAACAGTAAAGGTTTTCTAAAAATTATTTATTTATCAACACAATACAAAAAAATAAAATATAAAATACATAATATAATTAGCAGTGATAAATTACATCTCATGTAAATTACCTTGTTGTAACTTTTCAAACAAATTAATTTCCAGAATTGATGCAAACTAAAATATTTCAAGCTAATATACAGAATTTATTTCCAGATTAAGTCCATTCACTCACGGTAAAATATTGCAAAACCTCATAAGTTTAAAGAATCGCTTTTATTGACATGAAATTTGGCTTACGCTTAGCTAAATATGTCAAAGGAAAAAAAGATTATGCTTTTGCCCTATGGATCAGTATCACCCCTTATCGGGAGTGAAAAAATATATGTTCAAGATAAGTTCAGAAGTGCCCAAAATCAGTAATTCTAAGCAACTTTGGTTTTATAGAGGTTTCTAACTATGTCAATACTTTTCGAGTTATTGAAAAACAGGTTCTTATTCGTCAAATTCCATGTTGAATATTTCAACGTGAAATAATAAAAAACTGAAGCACTTTTCGACGAAAACTCATTACAACTTTTTTTAAAGTGTTTTAAAAAGGTTTATTTTTGTTAAGTTTCTTGCATCAAGAGTATGCAAGTTATGACCAAAATATTCAGAAAAGCAAAACCTACATTTTTTTACTCTTTGTGATTTTTGGTGTCACTAATAAATTTTAAGTTATTTTGAAAAAAAGCATTTTTTCAAAATTAAAAGAAAATTGTTAAAAAATAAGTCCTTTAAACAAATGAAACTTACAGATCATTATAATAATAAAATAAAAACAATGACCAAGGTATTTATTAGAGAAATCAGGACACGCATTGAAATTGCAAGACAAGCATTTATAAAAATTGAAAAAAAATGTTTGTTAATCGAGATCTTATCTAGTTTTGATGGAAAATAAGCCACAATCGTACTAAAAAATGGTTTTATTAACGTTTCGACGCCCAAACCGGGTGTCGTTGTCAAAATACAAAAATTATTAATGAATTAAACAAAACTGTTGTTGCTTAGTAAAAAAATTCTTCTAATAATTTATTTAATATGACTCATTTATATTGGCAATTCAGACATACATATATTATACATTTTAAAGTAGAAGACTTTAAAATGATATTGCCAGTATTTATGAGTTGCGTTCTTGGGACTATATTTATATTCTAGCGCGAGAATTTTACTTTCGCCATTGCATGTGGTTGTCTATTTAAAGACATAGTACATGTTATGATTTTTTTGTGACGGATATTCTTGAGTTGGGGTAGATATCATGTAATCGAATTAACTATATTTCAACAAAGTCGTCCCAGGAACGCAACTTGTAAATATTGGCAATGTAATTGCCAATATTTCATTATCTACTTTAAAATGTATAATATATGTCTGAATTGCCGATATAAATGAGTCAGATTAAATAAATTATTATAAGAATTTTTTTTACCAAGCAGCATCATTTTTGTTTAATTCATTAATAATTTTTGTATTTTGACAACGACACCCGATTTGGCCGTCGAAACGTTAATAAAATCATTTTTTAGTAAAATTGTGGCTTATTTCCCATCAAAACTAGTTAATTGCAATAATGCCACAAGAAAATAGCTTTAGAACAAAATCGAGATCTTCCCCTGGAGCTGAGGATAAGCGCATTAAGATGCTACGTGTTCTCGACTTTGAAACATGGAATGGAAAAGATATACGCTAAAAGTAGACAATATACAGAAGTTGGAAGCATTTGAGAGGTGGTGCTATATAGGAATTTTAAAAATACCTGGATCTAATGAGTTACAAATGCAAAAGTGTTAAGGTTACAAAAGGATTGCAAAGTGATAAAGAACATCAACACAAGAAAGCTGGAATATTTAGGTCACATTACCGAAGATGCGAAAAGCTTAAAATGCAATGTAAAATTAAGGGTAAAAGATCCACAGGTAGAAAAAGAATTTCATGGCTGAGAAACTTAAGAGAGTGGTATAGTTGCAGCTCAATAGATCTTTTCAGAGCAGCCGCCAATAAAGTACGGATAGCTGTGGTGATGGCCAACCTTCGATAGGAGAAGGAACTTCGACAAGAATGGGATATAAATTTTGTTCTACTAGTACTAACATTATACTACAAAAAATTGACAATTTATCTAGAAATGGCAATATAGAAGTCAATTATATTCTGTGCAAAATAAGAAATTGTATAGAGGTGAACTAAAATCACTATCATCTGTTCGATAGCATACTTTTTACATTTAAAAATTTTCTGAGGACTTTCTGGAATTACGTCATCAAGGTTTTAAAAGCAAGTAGTGGTGAGTACCAAATGCAATCGATTTTGACTCTAACAAAATACCACAAATTACCAACGTTAAAAATGAATAAAGTAAGTACAAATCTTGATAAAATGACAGGGAATTTCCAATACATAATGTGAAGTTTATATAGTTCTAATTTATTTGCCTTTATTCTAATTTATTGTCTATATTCTAATTTATTAAAACTCACGATAACTAATTACTAATTTATTAAATAGCTGTACAAATGTATTTATGTCACGTTTCGTTACAAGTAAACCGCGTTTCCCGATCTTCTTATGACTGACCGCCAAATAAGAAATCTTTCATTTATATACACAACTGTTGTTATCTCGAAATTTCGGCGGCCTTCTACATTATAATGGAATAATCTCGTATTTTGGTGAAGGCGCGCGACTCGTTTTTTCAACCTCGAGACGTGGATTACTCATAAAATTAGGGTCTAGAGATTTCTGTAAACAACTTCGAATTTACTGGAACAGAAAACAGAATTAGTCATAATATATTAATAGTTATAAACGCCATAATTATCGTAACATTGCCCCCCTCTTAAAAGATGGTTCCTCCTGGAACCTTGTCGGGACTGGAACTGGAACGGTATGCTGGTATCGGCAACTGGACCCTCTTTTACAACTTCCAGTTTTATAAAAACGACAAGGGACGGTTTTCTCTCCGCATCAATAACTATGCGGATTGCAACAGACTAACACCTGGACTTCGGTGTCTCTAAAGATCTCCTCCACCATACTTCGAATAACCCTCCAATCTAATTGGTGGCACTCTAACTTTGACATGGCTAACTTTTGAACGTCGTACTCTAGTACGTGCTCTCTCAATCGAAGTAAAGCTTCCCATACATCTCGGTAGGTAGGTTGGTCACGGGCAGTGTCTTTTGTTACCAGGTAGAAAAGGTAACGTGATGCATCTTGAAGTTTCAAGGTTTTACCAGGAGCTGGCACTTGGCATTGAAGTTCTGCAACTCGACCAAACTTCCTTCGAAAGACGGATGCCAACCCTGGTGCATCTTTGATACTGGCCGGGATGGTAAGGGCCAGTGAGTAGTCATCGGGAAGCGCGAGTAGATCTTGCCTTTCTTCAGTGGTAACACCATGTCTTGCTTTACCGGTACCTCCATAGGCACCCATGAATTCCTCAAACGTGAGGTCAGACACATCTTGGACTTGGTTTACTTCCACTTCTTCATCTACGTCGTGGTCACCCTCGAAAGACGCCAACCGGTTATGGTGTACTATCATCGGCTTTCCTCTCGGAATCTTGCTTATTCGGTAAATAACATCATTGATCTTCTCCATAATGAGGTATGGACCTTCCCAAAACTGCTGCAATTTGGGAGAACAACCTTTTCGCTTTTTGGGGTTATAAAGCCAGACTTTATCGTTCTTCTTAAAACACCCCTTTTCGGCTTGTGTATCGTACCGTTTCTTCATTCGGTCACTAGCGATTTGGAGATGGGAACGGACCA